CGGGGGAAAGGGACACACCACCAAAGACCAGGAGGAGCCCAGGGTCTGGAGCTCAGCAGCGCGGGGGAAAGGGACACACCGCCAAGGACCAGGAGGAGCCCAGGGTCCGGAGCTGAGCAGCACGGGGGAAAGGGACACACCACCAAAGGCCGGGAGGAGCCCCGGGTCCGGAGCTGAGCAGGGAGGTTGCACTTCCCCGCAGCTGGTTCCGGCCGCTTCCTCAGACCTCACCCCGACCCCACCCCACCCGCCTTCTGTCCCGCAGCGTTACCATGGCGGGTCTCTAGAGTCCTTCCCACGCAGCGTGCAGCCCGTGGAAGTCGCAGAAGGCGGCCTGGCAAGTTGGAGGACTCTCAGCAGCGCGCTCAGGACACACACTTTCCCGCCACGACACCGGAAGAACCCGCCTACTTTGGCCCCAATGATCGGAGCGTTCGTACAGCCCGCCTCTTTGTCTCTGATTGGCTCCCGCTCCACCGCCCTCTGAGCCAAGAGAAGAGAAACTCCGCGTGCGTGGATAGAGGGAGCCTGTAACCCGGGAACTTCGTGACCCTGCTCTTTCCCGCAGCGCCAACCTCACCTCGCCTGACAGTAATCGTATTTAAGCAGTGGCGTCATCAGATGGTGCAGGCAGAAAACATGTATTAAAGTCATTTATTAGTTCTGGACATTCTCTTGGCAGATCCTACAGGATTATGTACTTAATCAGGTTGGTGATAGGCTCAGTTTTATTTATTTATTTCCAGTTTGGCTTTCTTATTGCACTGGCCAAAATCTCCAATGCAGTACTGAGTGGTAAGAGCAGATTTCCGTGCACTTTTTTCTTAGGGAGAAAACATGCAGTCTTTTACCCTTAAGTGCGATATTGGTTGTGGGTTTTTCGTATATGTCCTCCATCAGATTATGGATGTTTTACTTTATTTTGTATGTGATGAATGTTCATTATGAACATTATGTAATTTTTTTCAATGCTATTTCTGCATCCCCTAAGAGAATATCTGTTTCTGTAGATTTGTTGAAATGCCATGTAGTGCATGTAAGGCTGCTATTCCAGGGGGTAAAAAGAATATACCAATAATCAAAGAATATAGAAAAAGAAGAACAGCAGGAAACACAGTTTTCAAGATAATATACTACCTGCATTTTTCTAACAATATTTCCTAAAATACTTCCAACTATATAGTTTTATTTCATTGTAAACTACTATTGAGTTTTAGGGGAAAAAACTTTCTGACTGATGTGACACAATACCAGTTGTAAAAATTCAGACACATAAGTTGACAAATGTCCAGATAGCTAACTGAAGTTCTTTGTTAAACCAGAGGAACATATGGAAGTAGCCTTAATCTGCAATTTATGAATTAAAAGTTTTCTCCCAGGCAGGATAGGTGGTAAAAGTAAAGTGGCCCTAAGCATTGCATTATCCTAAGAAACACCATGGATTTCCTGACAGAGCTAACATACTTGAAACCAATAAACACAATGATATGCCAAACAATACTACAGACTCCAGCACAGACACCTAATTACAGCGATAACCCAACCAACACCCAACACCAGCTCTAACTCAGTGCTCACCCTAACCCAACCTAGTGCCTGACTGTGGGGTGCCCTCTCTCCACCAGCCCCCTGTCCCTCCTCGCCCACCTCCACACATCCAGACCCCTTCTGTCTGCTGCACCCCACATTCCTCTGCTAAGGTCTGAGGGATGCTAGGGTGGGCTTTGGAGGGAAGGTGAGGCCTGAGGTTGGTGGGCCAGGGGTAGATTTGGTGAGAAGACCAGGGCTGAACTTCCTGAAGCCTGGCATGTGTTGGGCAAGAAGGGAAGCTTGGGGTTGGTGAGGCCTGGGGCAGGTTTGGCGGGAAGGTGAGTCCCAGGATTCATGAGGCCTGGGGTGGGCTTGGGGGAAGATGAGGCCTGGGGTTGGTGAGGCCTGGGGTTGATGAGGTCAGTCGTGAGCTTGGCAGAAGGTGAGGCTTGGCGGAAGGTGATAACTAGGGATGGTGAGGCTGGTGGGTGCTCCTGTCCCAACCTACCCAGGGACTAAGTCCTGGGAGAGGGTGAATGCCCTGGAAAGCAGCTTCTGCCCTGAGGAGGAGAGACAGGAACCAGCACTGTGTGCTGACTCCTTTTGGCAGCTGTCTGCTGGACTAAAGCAAGACGGACTGACCCCTATGCAGAGTCCGGAAGGGAAGGGTCAGAAGAGGAGTTGGCGAACCCGGTCGGGTCCCGTGAGGGAATGGATCCTGTTGACAGAATGAGGACAGATGTGGCCAGGGCACCTCAGTTGCGGGCAACCTGGGGCTGGGTCATTGGAGGGGCGTGGCAGGGGGCGTGGCTTGCATTCAGTAGGAGAAGGGGTGTAGCCTGGGAGCTCCTTGATTGTGTGCAACAGGGTGGGCCATGGGAGAGGGCTGGGCCTGTGACAGAATAAGGAGAGGTGTGGTGGGACATCTGAGTTAGGGGCATCCTGGGGATGGGTCATGGGAGGGGCAAAGCCTGGTCACAGCAGGATTCAGGAAGAAGAGGAGCATAGCCCAGAAGCTTCCTATGTAACTATGGTACCAGAAAAGCTCCTTGTGCCCACGCCCTCCAAGGATCTAGGTACCCAAAAGCCTCTGCATGCATACAGCTGTACTGCATGAGCCTTCAGTATCCACGGGCCCCATTGCAGGATGACCAGAAGATTCCACACAGCCAAAGGACTACAGTACCCATAAACCCCTCCCCAACTACAGGACCCAGCGTCCCCTGGGTGCTCCTCAAGGACTAGCTACCCAGAATGATCCCCAAGGACTCTGCTATCTGAAATCTTCAGTGTAACCCTTACAAGTACTGCAGTACCCAGAAGTCTCAATGTGACCGTTCCGAGAAAGATGATACCCAGAATCTTACACAAGCCACAGGATTGCAGTACACAGAATCCTCAGTGTACGCCCTCAGGGAGGAAGGTACCTTAAATCCTGGACAGGCTGCCTCACTAACTAAGGTACTGAGATTGCTAAGTGAGACCCGCCCCAGGACTATGGTACCCAAAGTCCTTAGTGTATTCTCAGTCCCCTCAAATGGAGCACAGCATCCTGAAACCTCCACTTGCCCCCCTGGCATTACAGTTCCCAGAACCTTTGTGACCCTCCCCCCATTACCATACCCAGAATCCTCAGTGTGGCCCATGACTACAGTAAATATGATCTTCAGCCAGTCCCTGAAGATTCATATGCCTAAGGACAGCCATCCACTGGTGTTTATCATACACCTAGTCCTCAGTGACATATGCCAGGGAGCCTAAGGTCCCTTGGTCCAGTGGGGATCCTTTTCTAGACTCTGGTTTCTATATTTTTAGAAATCTTATGGACACATTGCATTTGCCAGTTCTGTGCTACAGGTAAATAATTTCCTCATTGTGTCTTTTATAAGAAATGATCTCACTTGTCCGGACTAAAAAAAGAAAGAGGAAAAAAAGAAAAGAAAGAAATTGGACTCTAGAGGCAGCAAATGCAAGACTTTTCACCCACACTCTTGTAAGAATGGTACCTATACAGAGACAGATGCAAATTAGTTGAGAAGCTGTGTGTTTTTATTCCTCAATCGCAGGAGTCGCTCCCCTCATCCCCCATGGCCGGGCACTGCAGGCGATCTAGTTCATCCCCTGCTTGTTGTTTCCCTCCCCCTTTATTCCCACCAGGGTCTGTATTTCTCTTTGTAATGATTTTTAGCCTGTTGTCTTCCCGGGACGCCAGAAGACTCATCTCTGCATGTCCTTTTCCACTACTTGACTGAGCTAAGTCTAAAAGTAAGGGCTTATAAGAGCAGTTCATGAAATATGAACCAATTAACATATACCTCTTACAATCTCTCCCTTTCCTTATTATAGGACCCTTGCTCCCATTTTCATGTTTATGGGTGGGGTTTTTTTCTTTGAGTTTTCAAATATCCCTAATCCTAATTGACTTTTTTCATCAGAAGACAATAGATTGACTCTTTCCTCTAACAATAAAAGATTATGTTTTTGATATGGCACAGACATTTCCTTAGTCAGAGCAGTCTCAATTAATCTTTGGGCTGGGTCTCTCTCACCTGGAATAATGCAGCATCCTATGCCAGTTAAGGCTCCAGTTACAATTATGAGGGCTGTTTCAAACCAGTTCTCTAGCCACCCTCTAAAGAGGTCATCAATCTAGACTTTTCAGTGACTTCATTAGCCAAAGTAGGAAGGCCCTGTAAAGAACACAGACACCCCCCCCCCTTTTTTTTTTTTGCCAATATCATATGTAGAGAAATCCAGTTCTCCCAGGCCATCCAGATAGCTGCACCTAGTTGGCTAGCTATGCCTTGAACTACGTCTCATATATAGTTAAATGCGTTATTGGAGAAGTCTAAATGAAAGAGGTTTAATTTCCTAGTTGCATCTTGAAGTGTATTTCTGCCAGGGAGTTGAGTTTATAGAGTATTTGAACTAATTATCTCAGCTGGGCTGGGGATATAGCTCAGTGGCACAAGGGCCCACTTGGCAAGTGCAAGGTCTTGAGTATGATTCCCCGTACCAAAAAAAAAAAAAAAAAAAAAAGAGGTCAACTAATTATTATCTCATCCATATTTTCATTTGTGTGGACTAGTTTGTCTTTTCAAAATGTTTATTCACTCCTGTAGTTATTGAGGACACAGGGAGTGTTTTCTGACTGTTGACAATGACCAAGGTTCTACAGTCAATAACAGTCTGTTATACAGTTTTCCAACACAGTTTTCTGTTACACTTTTTGATTCTATTAAGGCTGAAAGACAGAAACGTGAAGGTTAAATTACTCATAAACTTACCATTTAAATCTTATCTTAAGAAAAGAGAGACTTTATCTTTGTACTTGATACCCAGTTCTGCCTGGATATCATCTAATCAACCCTTTCTTGCTGTTTTTAATATTTTGGCTTAAGAATAAAAATGAAAATTTTGTATGGGAGCATTTCCTCCCTCACTTTCATGGGAAAAGCCATCTTAATTACATGATCAAGTTTTATCTTCTTTTGTGCTTTGCAGGGCATCCTCAGTAAACATGAACACCCCATCCTCTCCCCTGCCCCCGCCTCTGACCATTTCACTTTCTGTACCAATGAATCTGATGAGTTTAAGTACCTCACAGAAAGGGAGGTTAGTGCTACTGGCATATTTCAGTTTGTCTGATGTCAGCATGGTGTATCCATATTGTAGCATTTGTCAGAATTTCTTTCTTTTTAAAAGGCTAAATAATATGTCTTTCCATCCCACACTTCTTAATATTCATTCCTCAATCAGTGCTCTGTTGTTTTGTGCTTTTCTTAGATACTATGAATTACATTGTGATGAATATAGTTGTGCAAATGTCTCTTTGAGACCCTATTTTCTTTTTAAATTATTATTATTTGACAATAATTGTACTGTCTATGGAGTATCATATGGTAATACAATACATGCATGCAATGTGTAACAGTCAAACTTGTATAATCAGTGCTTCCTTCTTTGAGACTGTTTTCAATTTATTGGATTGTAATGGTTGATACATTGTGTCAACTTTAGAAGTTTAGAAGTTTAACTAAGCCACT